TTTTTTCCAAAAATTTAGGATTGTTACAACACCAAACGACCTAACTTAATATGTACCAACATTTTTGTGGGTAGTTCAACTTTAGGATTTGAACCTGCAATAAATTGGACTATTTTATGAATTTATAGGTAAAAATTAGAAGCCAAACTTGGAAGGATAATGATCAAATATATACGATTAGGAATTCTAATCGCAATTGCAACATCATTTTAATGGCCAGGTCTTTAATTTTCTAATCAACATTATTTAGACTTTCCTCCTAAGTTCTTTTTACATTAGTATGCATTGATGCTCTCTTCCAATGTAGTATAGGGCCTAGACTCAAGCCTGTATATGAGGTTAATGGACTTGTTTAGATGAGGATAGTTTACAATTAGGAATTCTATTATGGTTTAGGGTCCTCTATGGTTACGAGTTCCATTTTGTGTCCAATTCAATGAGGTGTTCTATTTTCATTAAAAGTAGGATTAAGGGCATCTAAATTAGAGGTTAGTCTATAAAAAGTAGTTGTTATAAGGCTTGAGTTTAGAACTTTGAATTGTTTTGCTAGTATTTCCTAGTTTGTACTAAAAGATGCAAGGAGCTTGATGTTTAAACTTCAATGCTTTTATTTCAATCAAATTATTAGAGTTTTATTTGATTTATTTACTATTATTATTTAATTTCTTCTTCAACGAGGAGCATATAATTCAAGTTGTATATGACATTGCAGGTGCATAGGTTAAAAGCTAATGAGTTTGGTGAGGCATTTGATACAGACTCTTTTTGCAGTCTATTACATCAACCTGATTTTAGAGGATTTAAGGTCACAATCAGGGCTCAAGAAGATGGTTGCCTTAGATGAATGGGTGATTTCTCCTATCTCAATGGCTTAGATTGGAAGGGATTTTCGAATCATAATTAGTAGTATGAGGTTCTAGGATAGGTGCAACTATATAGCGACAGTCACAAATCCTATGATAGTAAGGTCATGTACTCCATTTGAACAGGGGAATGAATGTGTGGTAGTTAAGACAGATTACGAACTAACTATGTTTAAGTTTTAAGAAATTTCATCAAAGTACATAATATTAGTGGACTTCTTTCACAAACTTGGAGAAAAATAAATGAAATTTTTAAGAATGTAGGACAACTTCTTTTTAAATCATTTTGAGTTGGGTTAGCCAACCTCAATTAGATGGGAAAAAGGCTCTGATCACGATAACGATCATTTTGAGTCAGGTTACGATAGTATCATTTTGAGTCAGGTTGCAAAAACTTAGATCGCCCACTAACCAAGTTTACCATCACTTATTTTTCAAACACTAGTTCAAGGCACCTCATCGAAGTTTTGTTATGTATTAACATCAAATCGAAAGTTATGTTGAGATCATCATAAAATCAATCATTTTTGTGGTTATTAGAATATTTATTCTTATTACAAAAGACAGGTTAGCATAAGATCTAGGCTTTACGATAAAATATAAAGTTGCACTTGAAATTTGTTGAAATTGCACTTCTAACGCTTAAAAATCTTGAAATTGATTATCTTAGCCTTATAGATTAGGAAAACAAGTGGCTTCCATAAAAATAATGTATCTTGTAATATTTTATCTGAACCACCCATTTTGAAGTGTTCAAAAATCCCCTAGATCTACACCATTTTAAAAACTAAATCAAAGGCAAAAATAGACTTTTAGGCCATCACAACGAGTTTTGACACTGTAATTGCATTTTCCATCAGGGGCTTTGGTTGCAGCTTTACTTTTTATTCTAGAGTAGGGTTATCGGGTGAGGTTTGTATAAGGTGTAGCCTTGTACGAGGCGCCCCTCAAAACTATGAGAGATGTAATTTCGGTGCTCAAAAAATTTAAAGCTCCAAAAATTATGTAATTTTAGTAAATTTATAAATCATTAAAAACTTTGACAATTAATGGTCTAGATAATGTATTACAAGATGCGTTATTTTCATGACTTAAAATCTTTTGCTCTTCATTTCCATGCGTCATGAGGTTGGGATGATCAACCTCTTTTGATAGATTTTGAGGTGTGTCTCACTTCAATAGGATAAAGTTAAGGAACATTGTTTTATGCATTGGGAGAGACATTCCTACATTTGCGTCCCTTGAGGCAGAAAACATCCACCATAAAGATGGATGCATATGTGTGATCCTTTCAAAAAAACTTAAAATCAATGGCCTACATATTTTCTTTATTATTTTTAAATTGTATTTATTTTTACATGTACATAATCTCCATATTAGAGATTATATATTCCCTTAAAACAAAATCCAGAGTCCATCGATCCCTTGTCTATCTAACCTTCATCTCTAACATAGATGTGAAAAAAGCTATTAAAAAAATAACATTTATATTTTTTAAAAAATAAAATTTTAAAATTTATATCATTGTCGTGGTAAGATTATTGAACTCTAAACTTTTGAATCGAAATACATCTTTGGAATACATTTTCTAGGGAGACTTCACAAGAACAATGTGAGTCGGCTTACTCACCAAACACTTTTATGGCAGGCTCCATATAACCATGGTTCATAATGCGGGTTACGGTGAATCTACACCTCGGTCTAACACAAATGGCCAGAGATGCCCTTATAGCTACCGTATTTAGGGGTGGCAAAGGACCCGGATTCACCGGGTATACCCGAAAAAGTTCGGGTACAGTTCCAACATTTGGACCTGGTGGGTCGGGTCGTCCAAAATCTGGACCAGCCAATTTGGGTCTGGGTTTAGATTCAGTTGGGCCCAACCTGTACTCATAATCTATTGAAGATAACATACTTCAAGTCCTATTTGTTTGAGTGTATTAAGGATCGTATACAATAAGAATTCATAATCATATTTAGCTATTAAACGACAAATAAGACGGTTTGAAATCTAATGGCAAGTTGTGACCTTGTTGCCAATAATTTGGATATATGATGATAAAGAGAGGGCCAAAAAAGAAAAAGAAAAAAAAAAAGCTCAGGTGACAATGGACCGGACCAGACTCAAGACCTGATGGGATAGACTCATGACCCAACAGACATGGGTATGAGTCCAATATCTTAACCTGATAGATTGGGTCTGAGCCCAAAACCTGGAACCGGATCCATTGGGGCTGGGTTCGGGTCCCACCAGACCCGACCCATTGCCACCCCTAACCGCGACCCATAAAGCGCTGCATAGTTTTCCATCCACGTGCAGAAAAGGTCGGTGTAAGAGAAGTCCTTTCTTCTTTCGCCTTTGGGTGGTACCACCTGAATGAGATAAGTTCGTCGCCTTTGGGATTTACGTAGAAAGTTTTTCTAGAGAGAGGAATTGTTTGAAGATGTTGAGTGAGTTTTACAAACGTTGAAAATGCAGTTTGATGTTAAAAATCAAGGAAGAAAGAACATTAAGATGTATCTTGATAAGAGTGGGCCTGTCAATGGGTCGGGTCGGTCCAAGTGACTTCGATTGGATTTGACTCGGGGATTTGTTGAATCCAAGTCATTTGGATCCGTCTGTAAGTTGGGAAATTTTTTAAAAATAAACAATTATTTTATATATTATTTGGTATGGTCAACCTTGACTAGAACCCCACCCAGGTTGGGTCCAAGTCATTTGGATCTGTACCACCACACCGGGTCTAAATCTTGGGCCAGTCCGGGTTGCCCCACCCCTAAATAAGAGTCTTTTAGAAGAGATTAGGACTGTCGTGTCACGCCTTGTGAAGCATTGGGAGCATTTGTGATAATTTTCAAATCTTGTGGGTCTTTGGTCTTTATATTCCAAAGCATGGTCCCTGACTTTGGCTTTCTACTTTCTCTGGGTCCTTTCAAAGGAATTTAAAGGTATATACTTTTGTCGTGCAGAGCACGTTCAGATAAGTGTTTCCTGTAGCAAAGCACAGGCAGGGGATACAAAGTAACATTGAATGCAACTACCCCAAAATAATCAAAGTTGTAAAGAGTTTTCGTAAACCAAAACTAGCTAAGAAAAGTTGGTTCTCTCTCTCACTCTCTCAAAAAATTGCTCCCAGTTTTTTATACTCTCTCCTTCCCCATGCGCAGACAGAAAGACTTCATAATCATCATAGCCTTTTTTTGGCTATTAAATGATAAGCTATATGAATCTTGATCCATCTCTATTAAATGATAAGCTATATGAATCTTGATCCATCTATATGAATCCTGATCCATCATTGTGCTTTGATCATCAAAGCAGTTTTCAAATTATTTGATGATCAGCTATGTAATCTTGATCTGTCATTCTACTATATTAAAGACATTATCCTCAATGAAGTCATAATGCTCTATATCTTTTCTTGTAGACATAAAGATTTTGTCTGTTAAATTTCAGCTTTAGGGACCTTGAAGGCCAAAATTTAAAATGTTTTTCATGAGTGCTTGAGGTGTGAGACTTAACCACCTGAGTTATGCGTAAATTGTAGAGAAAACGCAAGATCGAACTTGAGTAAGGAGCTCGTATTTTCTATAAAACGAGGAGAAGGTTCAAAACTAAGCTAGCTCAAAATTGATTAATAAGAACACAATATTCAAAACTTCCAAGTTTTGCTGGGACAAGGTACCTGATGATCTCGCTGCTTCAAAATTTTAAACATCTCCAACTAGAGAACATCAAGATATAATCCATCCCCTATGAGACAACTGACCTGGTGAAGCACATAAGTGAGAAATTTTAGAAGAGAAACATGTTTTCAGTTAATTGTGGTGAAATTCCATAGAAAAGAGGTTATAACCAAATTTAATCTGAAATTGGGGTGTATGTGGGAGGACACTTGAACAGTGTGTCTATCAAAGCGCAGACACAGACTAAAACCACCCAAAAAGCCCCAATGTAGGACTAGAACATCCTCTTAGCCATACTTAGCCTTCACTTGGAAAATACCTGAAGGAAAAAAGTGCCAAAGTTGTTTCAAAACACCATTAAAATATTCCATGTCTCTCCTTGGATTGGTATCCAATCGAGCTTAGGATTGTCGAGCTTTAAATTAGAATTCAAAAACAATAGTAGCAAAATAAGAAACTCGACATCAATAAGATTTGCGAGATAGAACTATTACTGCAGAACCAAATTGAACAAAACTTAAGCGAATCAAGACTAACCATAGATCTCTTATTAAAATTGATGAAAAATGGTTCACCATCACAAAACTTAAGCTTTTACTTCATTAGATAACACAGGATTTTACAACACGTCCAAGATCTTGTTCCTAGAAGCAATAGTTCGAGGTAGATAAGGGTTGTGTTTTTCACAAGCCTGAGAAATTCAAGAAAGAGGACGTGTGATTCTAGAAGAGCTCAGATGCAGAGCTTTTTCTACCTCATTTAGTATTTGACTCATGAGATCTTGGCTACTTTAACAAAACTCCCTGAATCGTGCAACTATGCATGAGGGGAGGCAGTTCAATTGCATATCCGTGCCCAATGAGGCAAATGAAAACTGTATTCCAACATAAATAAGCGTTTTTTTTATACTGGCACCGAGTATGGAGGGAGAAAGGAATGAACAAAGCAGGCATGAGTTTTAAACAGGCTCAGCCAAGCTACTCAAAAGTCCACAGCATCCACAGGAAGCGACTGAGACCTCTGAATACAATGAGGTAGCAGAGCTCCCATATAGAAACTCCTTGCTGTGTAAACAGGCTCAGGGCTGCACCCATCAGTAACCTCACAGTGCCTGGTTCTCTCACACCCTTTCCATTCCTCCTCTCTCTTACTCAAAGCATCCTTCATCCCCAACGGAGGAGACCCATTACGAACACTCTTAGGAGAAGGTAAACTAACTGAAGATGATACCCCCCCATTTCTTATTTTGCTGGAATCAGGCGAATTTCTCAATGATCTCGAGCCTCCAAGCTGTTGAGTTACTAGCTCTCTCAGCTCTGTCTTATACTTAGCAGTGAGCCACCTCAATTCCTGCCTAATTTCCTTCTCGTAATCACTGTCCCATACCTCATGGATTGATGATAGACAACGCAGTTGATCATGATGGTGATGAGAATGATGAAGACTGGAATGGTGATGATGACGATCATGATGATGATGTTCGAAAGACCCATTGCAGCAACATGATTGATGAACGAGCTCTGGCTTTCCTTTGGGGCTCAAACAATGAATGCTTTTGCTAGTTTTAACCGATATTTTAGTGTTTACTTCCTCGTCAGAATGTGGCTCTTCAGAACCTTGAGAACTCGAAGAGGACTCAAAATCAGGGTCCTCTTCGTGGTGAGCCCATATATCAGCATAGTGAAGGCCATCAGACACACTCGAGATGACAGGGGGCCCACAATACTCAGGTCCCTCAACCTGATACGTTATCTCTTCAAATCGACCATGAGTAGAAGCACATTCATGGATGGAACATTGTCGAATAAGGAGATTTTTATCAACCAAGTACTTAGAAAGAGAACCATTGGATGTGGTAGTTGATGCACACTTATGGCAAATATTAGGGGTTGGATGATACTCGTGGCCATAATTTTCTCTTTCTTCCTCGAAACTTGAGGGCCCTGGTTTTTTCCAGTCTGGTAAAAGGGAAGATATCTCCCCATCGATCATCTCTGCTATTCTATTCACATCTTGGTCAGTTATATCGAGCTCTGCAACCATCTCTGCAGCAACCCCAATTGCTGTATCGACCTCTATATCAAAAGGGAAGTAAATGTTTCTTATCCTCCCTGTAAAAATGTTTTACAAAATCATCAGTTTTAGATAAAGGAAATTGAAATCTAATAATAATTAATGGAAAACAAGAGAGTGGATCTCTATGCATGATGGGTTTTATGCAAAAGATCTGACCTTCTTTGTCTGCAATCCTAAGCCTCAAAAAGATGCCATCATCTGCTGTTTTCTTTCCCTTGATTGTTATATCAAGGTTTTCCAGCATATCATCGTCAGTGTCACCCCAGGTGTTCTCCTGTTCTAGAAAGAGACTGGAAGCGTCGATGATTGAGCCATCCCACATATTATCTCTTTCTGGAGAGAGATTGGGAGCATCAGTTATCGAGACACCCCATGCATTCTCTGGTTCTAGGAAGAGATTGGAAGCATCAATGATCGAACCTCCATGTTCTGAAGGTTCATGCAAAGGTTGCCACCTGAGTGGGCTGACAGATTCAATTGGCTCCTCTCCCTCCCTAAACTCAATTACCCGCAAGTCAGCGCAGGGATCATCAATTTGGAGAAATGGATCATTCAGGAGCTCCCTTGCTGAGAGCCTATGGGACACAGAGGCCAAGCATTTCTCTACGAATTCTCTCACTTCAGGGTCTGTGACTTTGTAGAGGGCTGCTGGTTTTTTGCCCTAAATAGATCAATACAGAGGCCTGCTTATTGTAAGTGGTTAAGATGAATGAAAAAGGCTTCAAAACCAGTATCAAAGCTTCAATCATATTGGGGTTTTGGGCTCTTACAGAGATGACTTTCTTGTAAATTTGCGCAGGATGATTGCACTCACTGTATGGGTACTCAAATGTGACCATTTCGAGTATGCACATCCCAAAGGCGTAGATGTCTACCAGTTGATTATATTCTTCCTCATACACCTCTGGCGCCATGAATTCAGGCGTGCCTGCGATGGGAAAGAAACATCTAAAACTTTTGCGAAACAAGAAATAGAGATAAACATCTCAATTACTTTTTTGAAAAGCATCTGAGATACGAGAGAATTCATGAACTTAGATAACCATGTCTTCTTCTTCACAATACTCAGGCATCAAGCAGGAAAATAAAACATTGGGTTTTGATCTAGAGAGAAGTTCTTATCGTAAGCAACGGTTAATACAATCCTTTAGCATCTTAGTGAGAGAAGATGAACATTAGGTTTTCTATCAAGAGAAAAATTCCTGATTTGGGTCTCCGATACTACAATACTCTAGAACTCTTTTGCAAGGAAACGAAACGGGATTGGAACTAGAAAGAGCTGCCTTGGTTCTCTGCTGCTACAATCTTCTGCTACTGAGAAGAAAAGAAAATTGAATATGGATCTAGAGAGAATCTCCTCTCTTGATTCTCTGATACTACAATCCTCTGGCATCTTACTGTGAAGAATTAAGACTGTGTTTAGATCTTGGGAGAAGCTTCTATCTTGATACAACCCTATGCATTTAACTGTCATAAAAATGAGAAATGGTTTTTGATCTAGATTGAGAGAAACCGGACCTTGGATACTACTTTTGAGGTCATTAATCTATCTACTAATGAGTTTTAAACAGGGGATTCATGGAGTAGTGGGTTTACCAACACAGTGAGCAGCATGAGATTTGCGAAGAATGGCAGCCAAGCCCAGGTCTCCGATCTTTACCACTCCCTGGTGTCCATTAACAAAAATGTTATCACACTTGAGGTCTCTGTGAATTACAGGTGGTTCATGGCTATGGAGATAGAGCAGTCCTCTCAAGATCTGCCTACACCAGTTCTTCACCGCTCGAACATTAACCCGCTTGTGCTTCTGCCTATACCTGAACCATATCCAAACGAGACCTCAACTCTAACCCAGTTCCAGAGAGAGATACATAGAGAGAGAGAAAGGGCAAATAACCTACTGTCTAAGAGTGCCAGATGTGAACATTTCAGTGACAAAATTGATGTTTCGATTCGCTGTGTCGACCCAAGAAGTATAGAACTTCATGATGTTCTTGTGCTTAAGGGTCTTCAAGAGATGGATTTCACAGTAGAGCCTCTCAAGATCATCGGGGCTTTGAAGGAAATTATGGAGTTTAACCTGGTTCCAGGCTACCTCTATCCCTTCGAATTCATCAAAAGCTCTGTACCTGAAAAAATAGCAAGACCCACATCAAAACTAAATTAACAGCCCTTACAAGCCAAAGATACGAGAGAGAGAACCATTTGAGGAAAATCTTACACAGTCTTTGATGCCCCCTTACCAAGAATCTCATTATACTGCAACAAAAGAAGAAAAACAATCTCAAAACAATAACGAAACAACCACCAAGGAAAGGGAAGAACTTTAATAGAGAGAGAGAGAGAAAGAGAGGGAGAGTGAATTAATGTTTTGATACCCGGCCATATCTACCGGATGGATCAACTTCGACGAACTCGGAAACCTCTGTATCAGAGGGTGGCTTAGCACCCAACATTATTTCAGTCAAATCTCAAATAAAACAACACAAGCAACTTCTCTGAAGGCGCGGAAAGGGAAAAATTTCAGAGAAGAAAACCCAAGCACCAGAGTAGAAAAGATGGAAACAAGAAGCCCTGTTTCAGATATGTCGAGAAGAGAGAGAGAGAGGTTATGGTGGTGGTGGTGGGTTCCTCCTCGGTTTGGTCATGAAAGACAAGGAGCTCCAACTCATATAGAGAGAGAGAGAGAGAGAGAGCACAATATTTGTGATGGATACGGAGCATCCACCACAAGACAAAAAGGGTGAGGGTGATAA